TCTCTCTGACTGCATGGAGGGGAGTCCATTGCAAATTGTACTGATTATACCCGAAAACCTGCACCCAGCTTTTGCTGCTGCCTTCCCTGAGGCTTGAGAATCTGTGCATGTCTTGCAATCCCAGACATCATTTTGGTGGCCTTTAGTTTTGCCTTATCTGTATAATACTCAAGTTTGTATAATACATGGGATTGTCTCCCATAGGAGCTTTCAGTGCTCCAGCACTTTGATTTTTCAGTGCTTCAGAGCACTTTGATTTCCTCACAAATCACGCAAGGCAAAACCACAAAGCCTTGATTTTACAGCAAACAGCACAGAGCATTATGTGAGGGTCAAGTAATTTTATGGATTTCCAGAAAGTGATGCCAAAAGAAGAGAAGACCTGCCCTCGCTGCTGATAGCAGAAAAGGTTGTTACTTATATCAATAGGAGCAGGACTGTAGGTAGTATTTCTCCAGTGCAGTGTGGGCTGCTGAGAAAAAGAGCAAAGAGGAGATTTTGTATGGAAAGATATGCAGAAACAAGGCAATGTGAGGGGTTGTTGTGAAGCACATTAACTCCCGACCTGGTAGCAGGGCAATCTTTCTGCTCGTTTCCCAGAATGTGTGTAATGGCAGTAATCCCTGCTGCTCTCTTTGGGCAGCAGGACACTGTGGATGTAGAGCTGCATGCACAGCTCTTCTCTTCAGGTGGAAGCTTGTTTTTCCTTACGAAGGTATTTTGTCACTGAATTGTTTGTGTTTTCAACTTTTGCAGGCTGGTTGGAAAAGTCCCAATCCCCACCAAGGGGCACTAGACAGTCATGGCTCAACAGGGGCCAGGGAAGGAGGCAGCCAAGGGAGAGATGCAGTGGGCAGTTCCCTTGCAAAGGCAAGGAGCTGTGATACCTCTTTTCTGTCAGGTGTGCAATCACTCATATCTCACTGCAGACACTGCATTGTTTCCATGCAGTCCCACCAGTGCAGAGCAGGCACAGCACCTTGCAGGACCTTGGGATCCCGTGCAGACCTGCACGTGGTACTGCGTTGGTGTGTCGAATCACACTCGGTCCTGGACATCCGGGCACAGGCAGGGACTTGGAAATGCTCCGGACATCTGTGCTTACTCTGTGTTGGGGTCCAACTCCTCAGCACCGGATGCTGCCAGAGATGAGAAGCAGCCCTTTCCACTGCCTAATTTCCTAATTTTAGCTCTACACCTTGAGGCCCTGCATTGCTGGTTGCCATGGTGATCCTTCACCGCTGGCATTGCCTCTGGCTTTCTTGCCTCCAGGTGCCTTGGAAATGTCTTTTTCCTCCTTCCTCCTCAGGAGGCAACAGCTGAGGCAGAGGCATTGCATGCAACTCTCTGCACTGTCAGCTCAGGTCTTCTGTTTAGTGTTTGCCTGTTAACATGCAAGAACCTTCATCCACGGGGTTACACTTCCCAGCCCTCCAAAAGCATTGTGCATTCCCATCCCCATTCAGTAGGCAAGCTGGGCTATGCCTACATGATGCTGCCCTGAACTTCTGGCCCTTGAGTTGTTTGGAACAGCTTTCTCCATGGTCTTTGCCAGAGAAAATGTCTGGGAAGGTCATGCCCCTGTACTGTGGCAGACATTCCAAAGGCACAGGCGCTCCTGCCCTGGCTTCATCCTCACTGCTTTTACACCTTCCCACTTGCTCTCTGGGCAGCAGAGGAGTATGTAAAGTGTTGCCCAGAAAGAGAGCTTGGGCACCTCACTCGAGGCAGAAGAGAGGAACTGCCTTGCCAAGGCTTGCAGTGGAAATGCCACCGTGCAGCAATTAATAACAACTCTCTGCCCTTTCCCTTCCGCCTGCCCGAGCACGCTGTGGACCGGAACGGGTGACACTTCCCAAGCACAGGATGACAGAAAAGGCAGTGGTAGCTCTCAGGGACAAAGCAGTGTAAAAGCTGTGATTCCAGCCCCCAAATCCTGATATTCATTCATTTAAGGGCAATGATGTTGAAACACTGTGGAGTCTTTTTGTAAAATTAAAAATTTAAAAAGTTAAAAATTTGCAGTTCCCGTTTTCAAGCTTTTACAAGGCAGGTGCAAGGATGAGCTATTTAATATTAAAGTGGCAGCTGCCATCCTAACTCCCATGACTCCAGCAGGTGAAGCTTTATAAAGAGCAAACATGACAAGGTCCAAAGTAAGATCAGAGTATCTGTCACAAGGAACCAGTTTGACTGGTAGCTTCTGGGAAATCACCACAGAACTGAGAGATTATAGAGCCTCATTCACAGACCCCCACTGTACTCATCTAGTCATCCACCTCTGTCCCTGTTACACTCTCATTTGTGCACAGGAGACTCCCACATTTACCGGGAAGGCAGCCAGGAGCTGCTAGAAAGAGCTCCCACCCTGTGGTATGCCACAGCTGGGTTTGAGAAGCCCTGTGCCAGAGTGAGAGGGCAGGCAGGCAGAGCAGCTTGCTTCCTTTCTTCCTCTGGCTGAATCCTGAGGTAGAGAAAGCCATGTTGGAATGTGGCAATCCACTCCAAACCCCTGCCAGCCTAGGGCAACTTAAGGCAATAAGAAGAAGCAACCACTAAATTGTATTGCTTTGATTAATAAGAAAAATCAGAGTAATGTGGTCTTCTAGCCTGGCAGGTGGCAGGGTGTCTTCAGAAGCTGTTCTGGCAGTGTCACCCTGCCAGCATCCCCAGTCCAGGTTCCACTGGAAGAGGGATGGTTCCTGGGCTTTAACACTACCAGGGAGGGAGCTATGGATGGCCACGTTGGAGGCTGGGTTTCCAAGTGAGTGGGGAGAGGAGTCCTGCAAGCTGACCTTGGGCACTGTGGATGCTCCTTGAGGCCGGCTGCATTGTAGCAGTGCTTGAAGTCCTAGCCAGGAGTCAAAAGCCAGGTTTGGCATTGGTCGGCTTGGACAGGAGGTGGCTGCTGGCAGTCCTGCCTGTCCATGGGAGAGGCAGAGTGCTGCCATCTATTGCCAGGCACCTGGATTACAGACCTCGCTGGGTGGCCATACAAAGCTGTGCCCATCTGGTTTTTTTCTGTCTTTGACTGCTTGAAGGGATTGACGAGTTGTTCATATCCCCTAACATGGATCAGCACTTTGGTAGCTACAGTGCATTTTAGGTGCATGAGTGCCCCAAAGTCAGACTCCAGCCGTGGACAATTTGGGTTTTCCTTTGTGCATTTTGCAAAATGAGCTATTCTTCCTTCCCTGCCCTGAGTTGCCTGAGGTTGCTTTGTGCAGTGAAGTACCCCCGTTGTTCCATCCCACCCCAGAAGTGCCCAGGTCGTTTACCCCAGCCCTCCACTGGAAGGTGACTTAGAGAGAGGTGGATGCAGCAGAAGGGATAGCGTGTCCCTTGTAGCTCAGAAACAATGTGTGAAAGGAGATGAAAAGGCAGGAGGAGGGGGACTGTCTTCATGGGGAGAACAGGCCTGGGACATGGGATACATTTCTCAGCTAAGCATGTCCAAATACTGTATTTGACAGAATAAGCAGCAAAATAGGAACACCTGCAGAGAGTATGAAAGAGGTTTGTCACTATGTGAACATGGGGGATTCCTGCAGTGCTTTGAAAAGACCTTTTTGGGTTTGATGAATTGTGTACTGGGCCAGCAAACAAACTGTTCTGAAGACCAGGGCAAGGTTATTCAGAAAATGATCTGGCTGTCTCTGTGGGCTGTTCAGTAAAGACAGCAACTCTCTGTGAAATTGTGGTTTAAAAGCAAAACAAACAAAAATTAGGATAAAGAAGAAACAGGAGGAAAAATGTGTTCAGCATTTGTCAATAATGCTTACTCTTCTGACAAATTCTGTTCCTTTTTCATCACCTCTTTTCAAAAGTATATGATGGAGGTACAAAGATGCCACAAATGAGCAGAGTATAAGAATAAGAATACTCGGATGAGAAGGTGAAAGAACATTTCTGTATTAGGAGGAAGAAACACAGCAGATGTGATTGATATCACACTGATCTCAGTGATTATTTTCCATTCCTCAATCTTTCTGATGCAAAACTGTTGCAGAAGCCAGTTGGCTGGCATAAATCAGATACTCAACATACAGGTGGAAAATGTTAGATGAAATGAGAATCACAAAGGAAATTAATGACAAAGCAGGGAATTAAGCCAGACTTTTCAAAGTCTGAACCCTTGGAACTACCTTCTCTTTTAAAAGTCTATTAAAAAAGGCATTAAATGGATAAAAATAAGTGGTAGTTGTATCAAAAGCATGATTAAACTATGGAAATATTCCATGCTAGGTGTCATCAGTTTAGGAATGCTGTGGGACTCCAAGAAAAAAAAATAAATATTTGACAGTTATTTGAACAACAAATACTTGCGATGACTTTGGCAAGGAGAGAACTGTAAAGCATATAAATTGTGCTGCAGGGCAAAAGTCAACTGCACTCTGTCAGAAACCAGGAAGGAATTTTCATTATGGGAGGATTACTGGATAATTATCTCATCCATGACAATGTTCTTCCTTTAAAGTGTTTAATCTTGACCAGTGAAAGCAAGAGAATTGGTCATGTAGTTTTGTGACTTTTTTGTGACAAGGACATTATCTGGTGCCTGATGGCAATTTCTTCTGCCTGTTTGTATTGTACCTTTCTCTAGGGATATGTTCTTCTTCTTCCTAAGTGTCTCAAGCAAAGATGTTTCTGCTCCCTACCCTCCATGAAAAGAAATTTTAAAGACAGCAGTCCTCGACATGAGCAAATTATTCTTGCCATTCTTGCTAGATTTCCTCTTGCTCATGTTTGCTCCAGTTCTCCCAGGTGATTTTCCAGGAATGAACTGTATTCTTGGAACTGTAGCCCTTATTCTTGTGTCTGTTCCTTCTTATTGTCTGAGCTGTCCATCTATTGAAGTCATGTCTCTCTCGTTTTGTCATCCCCACCTTTACACTGTGGTACCTTTTGATCCTGATACCAGTTAAATGTGTTATTTTTTCTTTAAACCATATTGTTACTCGTAATGATGTATTTTGTGTCTCTGACTTTGTATCTTGCAGGAAGAGCCAAGGAGCAAATCTAAGATCTGTGCCAATGTTTTCTGTGGAGCTGGGCGTGAGTGTGCAGTGACAGAGAAGGGAGAGCCAACCTGCCTCTGCATTGAGGTACGGGAGCAGCACAGGTTCTGTGTCTGGGAAGGTGTCACCACCATCACCCCCCAGATGGGCTTCTGTCACTGGAAGGATTCCATGATGGAATAAGGCTATGGCTGTTTTGAAGCAGCTGCAAATTTACATTGGCTCTTCAACAGCAGGACTGTTTCCAGTGTTGTGTGGGGGAAGAGCCCCGAAGAGTCAATAGAGTCTGGGACTCGCAGCTGTGCTGCTTGCAGGACTGCCTAGAGTCTTTACACGCACAGGAGACTTGACTGGAAGTCTTTTGTTGGGAAAGTCCACTGGGGTGTGGATATGCAGCTGGCTTTGAAGGGCACTCTAGGGAGTGGTCTGTGAGCTCCAAGGCAGCCTGCCCTCACTAGCGTCTTGTTTGAGGAGGTTACAAGCACCCTACTAAAAATGAGCTTTTGTAAAATGGAAATAATTGTGGTAGAGTGCTGTAAGGATGAATTGCTTTATCCAGCAAGGAGTCAGAGATGATTAGAAGAGTCTTTCCTAGCTGTAGAGACACTGTGTCTCCTTACTCCACTCTGCCCCATGCCTTCAAAACATTTCTGCCTGGCTCCTGGGAATGGCCATGTGGCTCTTTGTTCCCCCTTCCCTCAGAGCTTGCAACTCTGGCATGACCAGCCTGAGCACTGGAGAGTGAAATGCCCTGTTAATAGGAAAAGAGTCTGTCACTCTGGATAGGCTTGGCCAGACCAAAAGGGGCAGAAGAAAGAAGTTCATAGTCTAAACAGTGGTACTGGTAAACTCTCTCTTCGCTTTAGGCTGTGCTGTCTATTCATGGCTGATGGCTTTTTCTGCCATTTGGATGCAGAAGGATGAAGCAGTCTGCAGAGAGATGCAATAGGGCCAAGCAAGCGCAGGTGCATAAAGCAGAGGCACAGAAACACCTCTGGGCAGGCATGGCCGTGGCACATGGAGCAGCAGTTGCAGGATGATGCTCCATATTTATGCTGAGCACTGATTTCTCTGCAGGAGTCTGCTTTCAGAAAGACTCCTGACATGCTGGTGGTGATGGAAACTGGGATGAAGTGAGGCCTTTGAACTCACACCCACAGACTTCCCTGTGTGAGTTTTTCTGGGGTAATGATGGCTGAGTTAGCCTGTTCCAAACACAGGGCCAAGGGGACTATGCCAAGGACTTCTCTTGAGCTGGGCTGATGACTGGACTCACCTGCCTCCCTCTAGCTGTCCCAAGGAGGCAGGTGAAATGCTGTCTTCTCTGGCTCTCCCACAGAAATGCAAACCTCACAAGAGGCCTGTGTGCGGGAGCAATGGCAAGACGTACCTGAACCACTGTGAGCTGCACCGTGACGCCTGCCTCACCGGCTCCAAGATCCAGGTGGATTACGATGGCCACTGCAAAGGTAACCCTGGGAAGGAGGGCTGGCTGCACAGTCAAGGACAAAGAGTTGGAAGGGAAGCATGATAACAAGGCCTCACCAGCCAAGACCTTGTCCCACAGTTGCTGAGTGGGGTAAACAAGGCAAGCCTCTGAACAGTAACTAGATTCAAGCAAGAGTCCAAATGATCAGGCTTAGCTGGCAGTGATGAAGTAAGCCTGAAATCAAGTAATGAGTGAGGGCTGGTGATTCAGGTAACCAGAATCAGACAACAGTCAGATGAGCTCACAGTGATGCAATCTGTAGCAGAGATCAAGGTGGGAATGAATAGTCTATGGAAGAGAGTGGTTGCAAAGAGCTGGAGACAGGCTTGTCTACAACATAATAATCACAGGCAAGGATTAGGAATTGAGGCATCAGATATGAAATGGAGCCTCATGGCTCACGGTTAGAGAGCATGGATGGAGGCTCTAGGTGAGGCTAGCAGGGTTGTTAAGGCCTTTATTAGTGCACTCAGAGCCCTGACATCTTGACTATGGGGCGACCTCAGAGCTATTGACTCCCTAAGCTTCTGGGAGTGTGGCACACAGGAGAGCAGGGCAAATTTTTGCTTCTGCTGCCTCACTTTAAGCTTTTGGATTCAGCCAGGTAAGTGTCTCAGTTTAACTGCTGAGGAAAAGTTATGCTCTGAGGATAAACTCATAAAACCAGTACTATCATCATGTTCAAAAGGAACCTCAGTTTCCTTTTGAACAAGGATTTGCAAGGATTTTGCCTCATAAGTGGGGCTGTTTAACTCTCTCACACACATACACACAGCTGTATGGTTTTCTTGTGTTCAGAGTTTTGTGTGTTTAAATGTGTGCCCACTGTCTCTTGGCCTGTCACTGGATACCATGGATAAAAGTCTGGTGCAGTCTTCCTCATTTCCTTCCATCAAATTTATAAACATTGATGAGATTGTCCCTGAGTCTTCAGTTCTTCAGCCCAAACTGTCCTCAGTATCTCCTAGGGGGTCAAGGGGATTCCAGGCCCTCTATCATGTATGTGGCCCTCATGTGTCCAAAAACTGCTTTTACCCATGGTGGGAAGAGATTTGTATCACATTGCATCAGAAATGTCCTCTTCTGTCTTTCCATTAACAGAGAAGAAGTCTGAGAATCCAGCTGCAAGTCCAGGTAAGAAGCTGTCTCCTGTTTGGCTGAGGCCTCTGTATGAATTTGTGTTCTCTGGGAGAAGGGCAGGAGGGTGTGCTGGGGGAGTGCAGAGCTCTGTGTAAAAGTCATATCCTGCATGTGCTGTTAAAGAGTTTGAGTTGATAAATAAGCTGAAATGTGATTGCCCAACTCTTTACTCTTGGGTAACCTTTCAGAGCTCATACGTCTCCTGGGCTTTTCACTGTGCTGGAATATCTCAGGGACTCAGCATAGACAAGGTGCAATGAAACCCAGTTTGCCCCCAGGGACTCAAACTGTGCTCGTCACCCAGACTGAGGGATGGAGCACTCTTTTACCTCCTTCATTGGGGATCTAAGATCATAACTGTGGAGCTGTTGTCCCCAATTCCAGGAGCACTCATTTTAAAAGGAAACTTTGCTTTAGGAGTGATGAACCAGTAGGTGCAGAGGCAGAGTCAGGAGGTACAGCTGAACTGCCTCTACCATCAGCCAACAGGATGATCTTGAGAGTCTCTTCTGACTTAAATGATTCTATGATCACCTAAATTATAAGTCTCTTTGATTCCCTGTGATTCCCCTTATGTATTGTCGTGTGTATTTAACACTGGATTTTAGGGCCATGGCTTGTCATGGCTCAGGAGAGCCTTTTCCCATTCATGACCTCTAAGTAGTGGAGCTGTATAATCATCAACTTCAACTTCCTAGGACAGATGAGAGCAAAGCCTCATACAAACTAAAGAGGAAGGGCCATGTCAGAGCACGGCCACCACCCTAAAGCAGTTCTAAAGAAGTACAAAATTAAACATGCAGAGTCCCTACAGAGCTGGGGTTTTTTCATCTCTCCATCTGGTTGTGATAGTAGTCACTGGATTCAGAAGATCCTTAGTGTGTGTGATGCGAATGCACACTGGTGCCTTTTCTGGCTTCGCTTTCCACTGGGCAGGTGTGACAATTCACAGCTAGGCTTTCAGTTTTGTTTCTAAATGCACAGTTTGTACTTCACATGAAGTGATAACCACCCTGGGGAAACCTGTGACACTGGCAAGCACTGTGAGTGAACAAGCCCAACTTGACCCCCTCTTGTTTCGTCAGAGTGGACAAATCAGGGCTTTGAAGAAACAATATTTCCTGAGATAGTAGGCCTTAAAATTTTGGAGACAGATTGGTAGAAAGCCTTGCTCAGTCTGGTCTTCACCCTTGCAGAGGATAGAGGCTTTGGTACTTTAGGGTTGACAGCTGAATGACAATTCTACGCAGTGTTGGGAAGCCGGGGGACATTGTCAGTTACCTTTCTGCCTCAGTCTGGGACTCTTCACACCAAGATGAGTCAGCTCCGGGTTGTTCTTCCACAAGCTTCAGGAATGGGAAGGAAAAGCTTTGGCAGGAGTGTTGTTTTCCGGCCTTGCCACATGGTGTCACCAACAGCCCATCCACTATTCAGCACATGACACATCTGCATGGATCTGGCAGTGATGTAACTCCAAGGACCGGACGGTGGGGCTGCAAGCTGCCATCAGGGTGGGCTGGCTGGCTTTTATCTCCAGTCCTCTCTGTGATCTCCCTGCCAGCTTGATTTCTCTCACTCTTATTTTTCCTTCTACTGCACTGTCTCCCATTACAGTTGTCTGCTACCAGTCGGACAGGGACGAGCTTCGTCGCCGGGTCATCCAGTGGCTGGAAGCTGAGATTATCCCAGATGGGTGGTTCTCCAAGGGCAGTAACTACAGTGAAGTCCTGGATAAATATTTCAAGGCAAGTAGAGCAGCACCTGCCTCAGAGCCCAGACAACATTTCTTGCCTTGTCACTGCATAACAGCTGCTGTGCCCCCAGCTGAGAGGCTCCAGTGTGTGACATGCCTGTGGAACTGGGGACCAGAGGGATCTGATAAGTCCTACAGCCTGATGTGTTATGGGCTGCCTGCAGTAGCCACTGAATAAGCCACTGACACAGCTTGTGATGATCAGATGTGGAGCATCTCTGGCTCCTGATGTCTGACCTGCCCTGGGGAAAAGGAGGAGGGCAAGCCCCATGTACCTGTAGCAGAGTAGAGAACTAATCTCAGGGGTAAAAGCCAGAGGAAAAAAGGTGAAAGTGCTGGAAATGCAGGAAGCTGTGGCAGGGTCTTTTGTTCCAGATAGTCCCAAGACCATGCTGAGATGGGTATGGGGGCACTTGGGGGCTTCAAGGAATATGTCCCAGTTGTGGCTGAGAGCTGGCAGTTCCCTAGTACTCTGCAGAGTGAAAGGAGCCACTTGAGTCTTGGGCCTTGAAATAATCCTGTTCCAGTCTGTCGCTCAGCCCATCCACACCACCTTCTGTAATCAACAGATCCCAAGCTTCTCCCATGCTCCTGCCACATGCACTGCTGTGTTCCTCCCCCTCATGCCTGGCTCCTGACAGAGACTTCAAAGCATTCAGGATAGAGCTGGAGGAGCAGGTGGGGAAGAGGGGAGAGTGTTTAAATCATGAGCTGTTGACAGCAAGAGATTAATGGTGCCTGACAGGAGTTAGCACTGCAAGCAGATTTGCCATGGCAATGGCACCCCCTGGTGAGACAGAGGAGCTGGTCCCCTCTCTCCACAGAGCATCCTCACATTTGCAGCCTTTAATGCTGCTCTGTCTGTGAAAATCCACTGCCCTGGGCACTCCTGTCAGTGCCTTCCAGCACCCAAAAGTAGCAGTGTCCTGTGTCAGTCCCTCTCCCTGCAAATGTGCTGTCCCCAGCCACTTTTGCAGGGTCTCCCCAGGTCATGGGCTTTGGTGAAATGCATGAGCCAGCCACAAGCTTGTTCCACTGTCACAGCACAAGCCATTCACACCTGCTGTCCCCACGCCTGTCAGTGTGCTGGTGATGTCCTGAGGCTGCAGCTCAGATGCAGGCAGCCTCATGTTCTCTTTACTGTCCCACTTTTTCTGGAGCACTGATTCCAGCCACTGGGTGAGAGTTCTTATGGCAAAGAAGTACCTCTGCTTGTACCAAAAGGAGAATTTCCATGGCAAAGGTCAACAGTATGAGGTTCAGTAAGGCCAAGTGCCAGGTCCTGCATTTGGGTCACAACAATCCCAGGCAGTGCTACAGGCTGGGGAAGGAGTGGCTGCCAAGGGAGGTGGTGGAGTCACTATGCCTGGAAGGGTTCAAGAAACAACTAGATGTGACACTTGGTGCTGTGGTTTAGTTGATAAGGTGGTGTTCCATCAGAGGTTGTACTCGATGATCCTGGAGGTCTTTTCCAACCTTAATGATTCTGTGATTCTCTGTCAGGTGGTAATCCACCTTTTAAAATACCTTATTCTTAAAGCCTTGGAACATTTTTAAGCAGAATTCAGAGTTTGAAACAACTTGGGATAAATCAAGGCAAAGCAAACTAAATGGCTTCAGACACACAGAGACTTGTGTCAGCAACAAGTGTCTGTTGTCACCGGAGGCATTTTGTCATGCCAAGATGTGGTGCTCTTCATGCCCTGCATTCATGCAAATGGCCTGATTCCTGTCCTGCATGTAGGAAACACTGGAGGCATAGCTGAAATTAAGCTTTTCCCTTTTCTCCTTGATGGGGAGGTTTGTAGATGTGGCTTTAAGCTATTTCCCTCCTGGAAGCTTGACTTGTGGGGCTCACTGAGATGTGCATTGTTCATCAGGCAGGCCATGACATTGAAGGACATTTTATCAAGAGGAACAAGGCCAGCAGTGGGAAGCTGCTCCATTTTGGAGGATCTCTGTGGGAGTGCCTTAATATAGACCATAGCTTTGATAGGCAAGAAAACTCACTTAACAGACTAGGCCATTAAGAGAACTGCAGTCATTTTCACAAAAAAATGCAGGACAAGAGGCTTCAAAGTCTTGTGGAAGTTGACATGTGGAGCAGTTGTGCAGGATAATTTCCCTAGCCCTAGATGTTTCTCCTGAAACACATAGAGGTAACAACTGGCAGTGTCTATTCCAGCATTCCTGAGAGCACTACACGAGGAGCCACAGCGACCTGCCTCAATCACACAGCAAAAATTAGGTGGCAGCAGTCTGTGTGCAGGATTAATTTTCCACTCACAGCAATGCAGCTGTCTCTGAGGGGGCACAGCAGTTCCTGCTGAGTGCCCAGCACTACGGTGTCACAGCTCCAAACAGGAAAGCAAAATGCAATTACTTCTTTGGGAGTACAGCCAGGATTTTGGGGCTAAAAATGCTGCTCTTCAGTGCCAGGAGTCCTGTCAGGACTTAAGAAGTTGATGGTGAGATGTTGTGCTATTGCATTAAATTTTTTCCCTGGTATCAGCAGAAAATTACTTCCTGTGATTTTTCCCTTTTGCCACTCTCAGAGTCCAGGCACAGCTTTGGATTTACACATATTGGAAAGCTGACACCTCTTTGAATGCAGCTGGTCTGGTATATAAGTCTGGTATATGGTCTCCTCTGGCAGGAGGTATATAAGAAAGCTAAGAGCTGGCTGAAACAAAGAGAAGAAATAGGGTTAGAGCCATAAATCAAGCAGCAGGAGGTGAATGAGAGTCAGTGTAGCTTATCTGTGAGAACAAGGCTAGGATCATATCTCTCTCACTCTGAGGCTAATGTGGGTATGTTGCTGCTTTTCTCTGAGCCTCTTTCTTTGTGAAAAACAGGGATAATGGAACTTGTCTTACTAAAGTTTCAAAATGCTATGTACATATGGAAGAAGAAGAAGGAAGGCGTACTTTGAACCGATAAATGAGAGCCTCTCACATTTTCCCATCTTCCCCTACAGAGCTTTGATGATGGTGATTCTCGCTTGGACTCCACTGAATTCCTGAAATTTGTGGAGCAGAATGAGACTGCCATCAACATCACCACCTACATGGACCAGGAGACAAACAAGTTGCTCAGGTGGGCACTGGACATGATGCAAGAGGGAGGGCCATGGGGGCAGATGTGGTAGACTGGAACATGGAAATTCACTCATGGCAAGTATCAGTTAGGGCTTGCAGTGTCAGAGTTAACTGTGTATGAAGTGGCTTCTTACTTAAATAGGTGTGAACACCACAAAAGGAGCAGTCCTATCTCTACTTTTCATGTTAGGCATGTATTCCAATCCTCTTTTGCCTTAAATCTAGCACTTGTGCAGCCAGAGGGGAGTTGGGTAATAGAAGGTTTGTTATCTTCTATTTCCTAATAAATTAGCTTGCCTGGGGACTCCCCTCACCTTTTTCCTAATAGATCCAGAGCAAGGAAGATGGTGGGAAAACACCATCTATACACAGTCCATAATTTGAGAGGTTTCCCTCTTTCTTTGTCTGCCACTGTGTGAAAAAAGGCTGTTTGTGGTTATGCTGTGCTTGCATCTCTACCTTGCATCTCTATCAGCATGTAGATGTCAACAAATGTGGATGTCCCATTCCTGATGTTGTGAATATCCCCCCACTGCCGAGCCCATTGCCAGACAGAGAGTATTTTGTGTCTGTTTTTCTTTTCTCTGTATCCCATGAGGTTCCTTAGAGAAGCCACCTCTGCCAGACATCTTGGAGTTTCCCTAGTTATCACTGGTTTTACTCACCTGCACTCTGAAGACAGTAGAGCAGGGACTGGCCTAGCACAGCCCTGTGCCGAACAAGCCTCTGTGTTTCCTTTCAGGGGACTCTGCGTAGATGCCCTCATCGAGCTGTCAGATGAAAATGCTGACTGGAAGCTCAGCTTCAATGAATTTCTCAAGTGCCTCAGCCCATCCTTCAACCCACCTGAGAAAAGTAGGAACTCCTCACTCATCTTGGGGAACAAGAGGGGTCCTGGGAAGGGAGGAAAGAAAAGAGATCAGCTTCAGGCCAGACATTGGGTGCTGTAACTCCACTGCCAGAGATAATTTTAATACATGCATGCCTCTCATCCAACAGCACCCTTTGTCCCTGCACTGTTGAAAGTACTGCTTTTACTGTTTCAGAGCTCCTGCAGCTCTTGTGATGAGAAAGGTTTGGATTTTAGAAGCAAGGACGTAGGTTGAATGGATATGGTATGCTTGTAAGGTCAAGGCATGTATTTAACAGTGCAGAGGTCAATCATGTGAGGAGTTCATGGCCAGATAACTTACGAAAGTCAGACCAGACCAAAGTCCTGCTATGTTCTGCCTTTCACACAGAGAGCCTGCCTGATTACCATCTCACTATCCTTCCAAATCGTTTCCCCAGTTTATCCCCACCTGGATCAGAGTTACCCAAGCTTTCATTTCAGGGGTTCTTTTCTTTGCATAACAGATAAGAAAATTCAAACAAATCCTACATTGAGATTTCATTTGGAATTGAGAAATTGAAATGTGTTCTTCTGAGGAAGAAAAACAAAGGATTTGACTTTCCCAAATTATTTTTTGGCTGATTTCATTCACCAAATTCAGCATTAATATTTTAGTCATAAGGAAACTTCTGGTGGTTGGGGGAACGAAGGCTTCCCCTTAAACCTCATATTCTCTCTCAAGGCATCTCCAAAGTATGTTGTCTTTAGCCTGCTCTCTCTCTCTCTCACAAGCACTGCCCTTGTTTTGTGCCTCTTCAGAGTGTGCCCTGGAAGATGAGACCTATGAGGACGGAGCAGAGACTGAGGTGGAGTGCAACCGCTGCGTCTGTGCCTGTGGAAACTGGGTGTGCACCGCAATGACATGCGAGGGTCCGTATGCTCTCCACAAAATTACTCTTTGGGTTTGGACAAAAGGAATTCTCACTCTTTGTCATTCCAAAGGCACCAGCTATCCAGGGTTCTTCTCTCTCCAGCTTTTTCTCAGCTTCTTCACGGGCAGTTTCTGCATAACCCTCACATGTTCCATGTTAGCGAAACCCAAGCTGGTACTGTTCCAGTATTCAGAAAGTGTGTAACTGGGCCCAGGGCAGTACTTCTGGGGTTTGCAGTTTGGATCTGGTGTCATGAAAATTCAGCACTAAATCTTCCAGACCAGATCTACTCTGCATCCAGCTGGTGCAGACCAAATAGGTCACTGGCTGCTACTGTATGGGTAGGTGTGAGCAAGTCAGCTTTCTGTATATGTGTCCATATCCTCACTGTATGTGTGTTTATGGAATTTGTAAAACAGGATCTAGGATCCTGTTTTGATCAAGAGGGGATATAAGAACCTTCATCCAATGCCAAGAAAGCACTTCAGCTTCTTGCCACAAAACTGCAGAATAATAGTGATGAAGGGAGGTGGTGCTCATAGTAAGGCAGGGTTGTTTGTTCCTCCTTTGGAAGGCCCTTAAACTCGCACAGCCAATTGTGAGAAGTCATGGTGCAGTTGTGAACAACAGCTCTCTGTTTCATCTTCTCACACATAGTCCAGGGCCAGTGGAATGCCACCTTTTCCCTGTCCTAGCAAATGTATGGGCTCTTCCAAGGAGCCACATCCATCCTCCCAGCATGGTGCTGCATTTTTCTGGCCTTTGTCCCTAGAAACCCAGCCCTTTCTGCATTCTTATATCCTTCTCCCCTAGAAACCAGGCCCTTGCAGGAGCTTTGTTTCAATGCTGTGGGGGACCTGCCAGGAGTACACTGGTTCAGATCTATAGTCAGTAGCTTGGGCAGAGTAGGAGAGAGGGAAACGGCAGCAGTGTGTACAGAGCTTTTCATGTTTATCTGATCTTTTGCAGCAGAGGCTTCAGGATCACCTCAGCTCAGACTTAGCTGTAGCAGCAGGAACTCACCTTAGAAAAGAGAACTGTAGTATTAATAGAGCTGCCAGAGGAGCTGTGTGTAGGTGTCATAGATTAAGCAACAGAATGAGAGACTCTTTTTGTTGCCTCTCCAGAAACAACCTTCAAAGTTGCTATGCAACACCTTTTCTTGCTGCCTACTTTGTTCCCTGCATCCATGACAGAAGATCACAATTGCTTGACTTTCTGCCCATGTCAGAGCAGCAGAGGGGTTAGAGGCTATTGTTAGAGGAATAATGAAACTGAAGAATCAGATCAAACACATCAGCAAGTTACAGCTTCATTGAGCGAAATTACCTCTTCATTAGATATCAGTTATTTACTTGGGTAGCACTGAGCTTCCATTTATTCCCTACAAGAGGCCAAGATATTTGAACTAATTATAGGTGTTTCTTTTGAATAATATGCAGCCTCTTCCATGTGCCTTTATTATCAGTCACATGGGAGGGAGAGACAGGGACAGACTACACACCCAAACCCAAGTTGTGAAGTCCCAGGCAGCCACAAGGCCTGTTCTCTTTCTAAGAGGCCAACCCATACCATCATCCAGCAAAGGCTTCCTAAGCTTGAGGGATGCTGTGACTGACCTGCCTCTCTTTGTTCTTCATGGTTCAGCATCTGGAATTGGCATCCCCTATTTGTGAAACACTAAACTCCACTTCTGCTTCCAGGGAGGAATGAAAAGGTGCCTGCTCAGAGACACCGACCTGATCAAGATTTGACTGAGGAGGAGATGGCCAGATATGTTGAAGAACTGCAGAAGCATCAGGTTAGCATGAGGCTGGGAAGGTCTGCTTGCACTAAGCCTCCTCTTGCCAGATGGGTTCCTTCTGTTTCTGTCACTTGGAGACTTCTGGTAGAAGGGGGAGAAGGTAGAAATCTCTTGACTGTGGGGACAAATACAGCTGTGGGGTTTTAAGATATAAGCCAGTGTTGGCACTTCCTGTGGATGGACCAAAGACTTCAGAGTGCTACCAATTTCTGTGTCAGCACAGAGATTGACTTCTGTGCTCTCTTTCTCCAGGAGACGGCTGAGAAGACCAAGAGAATGAGCGCCAAGGAGATGTAAGGGGCCTCCACAGAGGAGGAGCCCAGGAGGACGGGCCCAACCTGCCACCCTGTCCTCCAGTGCTGATCTCAGTATGCACAAGTGTCTGCTACAGTTGCCCAGTCACAGATATTTACATGTATAGCGATGGGTTATTTGTTTTGTAATACACAAAGAATGGGGCCAGGATAGGGGAGCAGAGCCCACCTGTTCAGGGAGCTTCATTGCTGGGACCTTGGAAGGCTGGGAGGGACTTAGAGCAGCCTCTGGGACCCTTTCCCAGAGCAGACCACTGCTCCCTCCAAGAACTAACAGGGATTTCTCGTTCCCCTGGATCTGGGGAAAGGATGGAGGTCAATGCTGGATAGAAAAGGGGGTCTTCAGTAAATACAGTTGTCAGCACCAGCCTTGGCTGCAGAAATACAGGCCTGGCAGTTTTGTGGCTGAACACGTGTGCTGCAGGGCATCATTATCCAAGGACTTTACCCTTTGCTTCGAGCTCCTCAAAGCTGGTCTGCCTGGTGTGACACCTGGGAGATGCGGTGCCATGCTGCTGGCATGAGTCCAGCACATTCCTCCTTGCTTTCCACCAGACTGTCCCCAGCAGCTCCTCCAGTACATTGTGGGCTCCAACACAACATGGTTCCTTTTGACCTCGTCTCACTCTTACTCTCCCTGCCCCCTCCTTAGAGGTGCTATCGTATTTTTTTCTTATCACATTCACATGCTGACTCCCCCTTTTTTTTTTTTTTTTTTTTTTT